GCCGAGAAACAAGTACTCCGAAAACTTGGCAAAATACCCAAGCATCTTTTAGGCGGAAATTTACCCCATTGAGAAGTGTATCCAGTTTAACATTCATAGAAACTATCGTAGACAAGATATTATCATCATGTCCGATACCCAAGCAGTCATTAAAGCGCTGAGCTCTTACGTAATCAGCTCAAAAATGGTCTGGAGATGCCTAGAAAAATACAGTTACTCTTACTTGGGTCCCGGGACATAACGGGGTAAAGGGTAACGAGATTGCAGATAGTCTCACAAGGAAAGAGACTCAAACACCTTTTGTGGGACCTGAGCCGTTCTGCGGTATCAGCAGTAACATAATATTAGGAGAGATTAAAAAAAAATTGGGCAGTAGAAGAACCGACAATTGAAACAATCTCTTGGGGCTGAGACAGGCTAAGATACTTCTGGGTGAATATAACCAAAAGAGATCGAAAGACTGCATCTACCTGAGCAGAAACAGGCTACGTATTGTAACAGGGATCCTTATCGGGCATTGTCGACTAAAAGGACATCTTAGTAAACTGAGAGTAGTAGAGAATACTGAGTGCAGATTCTGAGGAGAAGGACGAAAGCTCCATTCACATTCTAACGTACTGTGTGGCACTCTAAAATCCAATGGCACTGTACCTAGGAGGATATCAAATAGAAGAGGGAGATTTACCTAACTTGAAGCCACTCCAAATCCTACACTTCCTTGAGAAGATAGGATTGGAAGGGTCGTTATAGGCATTGAGACATTTCCTCGGTGCATTAGCGACAGAAGAGAGCACAATAGATCTTTTAGGTCGCAGTTTATTAACATCCCATTCCCAACATAACATAACATGCCTGATTATAAGAAAAAGAAATTTAAAATTTACCCAATAGATGAGTAATTATGACTTTCGTACTAATATTTATATTGCTAATCTAATTTGATGGTCAATATAACACATATTTACATAAAAAAACTAATATTAATGGTATATTAATATTCGTTTTTAAATAGCTGTCAATTTATTTAAATTAATATGTCGAAAATCAATGAATAGTATTAATATCAGCACTCTGAAATGAATTAAAAATATATATAGAAATAAATAAAAATCATAGAAATTTAAATATCAATTCAGAAGACATTATGTGATATTACATCATTATGAATATAAAATATCTCCAAATAAAGAGAAATAAAATAATTTTCCCACCATGAATTCTTCTTGGAAGATTTTTAGTCCAAAAGATTAGAAAAAATAAGGATTTCTGTGTCCTAATGGAAAAAGAAGTAACTGGGCACGTCTCTGTATATTTTATAATGTATATTGAAGCAATAAGAGTCAGTTTTTATATAAAAAAATGTGATATTGGCTTATTCAGCATATTGACTAGTCTAAGACGTTTTATAAATGTTAATTATTCACTAGATTATTTTATATAGAACTCTACAACTGCATACAAACTTTTTTTGAAACGATTTTGGGCCGTTTTTTTTGTAAACAGACAAAAACATTTGCACAATGAGCAGTAATATGTGTATGTTCTATTGTAAACAATTCTTAATCAGTTTAAAGAACATTATCTAGATATCTACACACCTAATCCAAAACTATTTTATTATCGATCATTATCTTTTAAAATTATAAAAATGTAGTAAGTAGATGATCGTTATACGCCAGATATCCATCTAGGTAATATTTATCTCTCAATCCATCTTTCCCATCAAATATTATGACTTGTTATATTCTTTTGTCAGAGGCATGCTACCAATGTACGGCAGTGCCTTATACGACCATGCCAAGAAAAAAGATAATGACTAGTTTGGTTATTGAAGAGAGGTCATAATTGGACTTACCTCAATGCATCAATGATGTCTGTCAATTTGTTTATTTTTGATTTATTTTAGACGCAACAAGCAGGCCTTCTGTTATGTCAACAAGTTCTCAAAGCAAATTATAGAAAGCTGCGGGATGTATCAGCGTTTATTATAAAGGAATAAAAACTTATTAATTGGGCTATGAAACCGTTATTTTATTTATTTCACTTGTAAAGAAAAAGTGGTCTTTGATTATATTTTAAAGTTTTTAAAAATAGAGAAAATAAAACTGCAACAACTTGGGTTTATGATAGTATGATGTTCATGTATATTTTTATATGTAGTTGATCGACTATTTGTAATTTCTGTATCGAAACAAAAAAATACTATAAATGAATTTTTTTTTGTTCTAATGTTATTATATTACGGATTCCTGCTCGTAACTATTTTTCATAGACACAAAACATTTGCAAGTAGCAGATACAAGGTTTTTATTTAATGTAATTCAATGACCAAGGATCCTAACTAAAAACGTGATTTACTTAAATATAAATCTGGATTTCGTTTTTATTTTTTTCGGATTCCTATCCTAGGGTGCCTAGCCTATATCCTTTATTCTTCTTATATCCTTGGTCTTTTTCTCCACGCCTCATTACCTGGACAAAAATGGTTTAGATAGTATATGTTTTTATTTCATTCACCTTATTCTATCTTTATACCTTTCGTCTAATTTACTTATTTTCTGTTCCTTGACTACCCCAGATAATAAATATTCCACTTATTTTTATTGCACACCTTCTTAAACTTCATCAACTTCCTCTAAAACTCTAAAACATGCTAATCTCCTAACTTTTCAAGTTTTGTATAACTCTTAGAAACATATATTGGTTACTATCTTAGAATAATTTTCACACGCTCACTCTCACATACAAAAATAATTTTAATTTTAATAATTTTCTTGTTTTCATACATGTTAATGACAGTCAGTTTATCTCCGAGGTTCTGATATACCTATTAAATAATTTTCAAAACTGTTACTTTATCATTCTTTTAGTATACCTATTTCTTAGGCTAGTATGTTATTGTTTTAGTCTTCTACTACTCACACATTAGTCTCTGAAGAGTATTTTAGGTTTACTTTATCCGTCTGTACGATGTTACGTTTGTTTTCTGCACCATAAGCCAAAAACGAAAAATGATATCCACTTGAAAATTTTTAGCAATTAAGCTCTATAAGAAGAAGAAGAAGAAGAAGAAGAAGAAGAAAGAAGAAGAAGAAGAAGAAGAAGAAGAAGAAGAAGAAGAAGAAGAAGAAGAAGAAGAAGAAGAAGAAGAAGAAGAAGAAGAAGAAGAAGAAGAAGAAGAAGAAGAAGAAGAAGAAGAAGAAGAAGAAGAAGAAGAAGAAGAAGAAGAAGAAGAAGAAGAAGAAGAAGAAGAAGTTTAAAAAACTGTATTATTTTATTTGACATGTGTAACAAATTGTAAAAATGAATAAATTTACCATAAAAACTGAAAAATGGTAGGTAAAGTTTCAATTTATTTAAAAATGATCTCAAAATATGAAGAAAAAGTTGACTAACTAATATTGTTTATAGATGGTTTTAAACGTATTAAAAACAAAACAAAACAAATAATAAATAACAATAACTAAAAAATATTCATTTAATAATAGTTGTAGTGCTTGAAAACACACCTAATACAAACTCAAATAATAAAAAAAAACAGCCATATTGGCTTTTGTACAAAGTTTTGAACTGAACTTACAAATGACAAAAGTATTGGAAAAAGTGAACAACCTTTTTAAATTATCACAGGCCGCCACTGGTGTTCAAATCCAGGATGAAGACTAATTAAAATATTTCTTAATTATTTTCAAGGGCGGCTCGGGGGTAAGGGGAGAGGGGGCCCTCGTTGAGATTATTTTTTTACAATCCATGAGCCTTTTATTTAGGGCGACTATACGTATCTACAGCCTTTTATTTAGGGCGACTATACGTATCTACAGCACGTCCAGGAGAAAATCCATCCTCCCAAAGTTAAAATGGCCCTCAAGAAGCTAAAATTCTTAGAATCCGCGAGCCTTTTATCTAGGAAGATAAATATGACAGTACTAAGACTTGGGAAGCTAGCGAAGCTAAAAAAAGGTCCTCTATATGACTTGCATTTTTCTGCTATTTCAAAAACAAACAAAAATTGTAGTCAATATGGTCACCCTACTTTTATTAAAAATATATGCTTCTTATTAGCAGCATAACTACTCCCTCCCCCTCCCCCCCCACCCCGAAAATCCGTTCTGGAGTCTAAGTTTATTTTATTATCTAAATTACTAAAAATATTTATTTTATCTTAACCTCTAAATTAATGTTAACATTTTTTAAGTTTTCGTTTGTGGATCGTAAAAAATATACTGCAAAATCCAAGTTTTCCAATAAAAAAATTATGTACAAAATCAAATGTATTATTCTCTAATCAATCCCTTTATTATTTATTATTATTGGTGAAATTGTAAATGTTCGTTTTTGGAACCCTATACCCTTTTTTTTAATAATATTTGCATTATTTTAAAAATTCCGTGCTAACCATTCTATTTCTATTTCTACAAAAAAATACAGATACATAATGTCGTAATTTGGATATAAACTGGCATTAGTGGTTTATATTCACTAAACGCTTTGACCTGACTTTCGCTAGTGGAAAGAGGTAGAATTCACAGAAAATAGTTTTGAGTAAAATACTTTAATAAAGAGTAATAAACGCAGGTTAGTTTCCAAGATATGTAACGGTTCTCTTCTCTGATCAGGTTTGTTTTGAAGTGCCGTCTTAACACTTAACACCAATACATGTCAGTCTCATACACGTGCTAGTTCTCATTTAAAAGCCAGTTTTCTCCCACACTCAATTTCATTCTTTCCTTTTACAACATTTACCTCCCCTCTATTTATTTTTCCATCTCTCTCTTCCTCATCTTTATGCACATTAAACAACTGATTTAGTTTTTTAACAGTTATAATATTCATCTTACCTACCACAAACTAATAGAGTTCTGGATAAAATTTGGTGACAAAATAGAATTATCAGTAAATATGATCCACTAGTAGAGGAGGTGGAAGTGACTAAAACAAATCCTGACTATGCACTAGTACGGAACAGTACATGAAAAGAATCTAGAGTCTCCATAAAACAGTTAGCTCCTGAAGGCGATAGAAGTTTGCTCTTCGATAAAGAAGGCAACAGTAAAAACATTCCAAATCTTGATACTGCTGATGACACAATCCATAACACAATCCATAACACAATCCATAACACAATCCATAACACAATCCATAACACAATCCATAACACAATCCATAACACAATCCATAACACAATCCATAACACAATCTATAACACAATCCATAACACAATCCATAACACAATCCATAACACAATCCATAACAAAATCCATAACACAATCCATAACACAATCCATAACACAATCCATAACACAATCCATAACACAATCCATAACACAATCCATAACACAATCCATAACACAATCCATAACACAATCCATAACACAATCCATAACACAATCCATAACACAATCCATAACACAATCCATAACACAATCCATAACACAATCCATAACACAATCCATAACACAATCCATAACACAATCCATAACACAATCCATAACACAATCCATAACACAATCCATAACACAATCCATAACACAATCCATAACACAATCCATAACACAATCCATAACACAATCCATAACACAATCCATAACACAATCCATAACACAATCCATAACACAATCCATAACACAATCCATAACACAATCCATAACACAATCCATAACACAATCCATAACACAATCCATAACACAATCCATAACACAATCTATGACACAATCGACACAATCCCAAAAAATTCAGAAAATGAAGATGACCTAAATAATGCGAATAAAAATATACTTAGAAGGTCATCTAAAGTTCGTCGACCACCCTACTGTTTCAGAGACTACACTCTGGAATACTTGGGGAAAATGTCGTATATTTTATCTAGTTAGTTTGTATGTTTTTATTATCACATTGTATATTTATTTGTCAGTATCTGCCACTTTGGCACTTGGTCCTTGGCAAACGTTTCGTTAAATAAAGCCTATAGTTTGCAAAGGTTTACTTTATTACATTAACATTAATTCAATTCTTCTTCGTAATGTTCAGCAAAATATAGTCACACTACTAACACAAATAAATTATTATAGTAGTTATCGCAACAAGTGCTTCTAGCACGTGTTACGATCAACATTTTTTCTACAAGCACATTTATTTCTAAAATAGAGAATTAACCTGTATAATGACATTAGGTACAACATACAGTTTAAGTATACATATATTAAACCGATGTTATGTGCTGAATTGGTGTAGTGGTTAGGGTTTCGGGCTCATAACGCAAAGATCTTAGGTTCAAACCCGGGCCTCGGCGGTAAGTATACCTTGCTTGTTTTTTTTCTCTGCGTGCGAGAAGATCATCTTATCGCACGCTTGTAGAAAAAATTATTTTTCCTACGGCTGCTTAGAATATACACAAAAACGCACTACCAACTTCCCTCGAAAAACGTCAAATTCAAACAGCGTGTGAAAACGTTTTCACACGCAGTGTGAAAAGTAAAATAATACAAAACTAATGAATCGAGATGAAATCTAGCATGCGGCTATTGTCACTACTGACAGTTCTCATTTAAATAAAGTCAAATTTATTGCAAATTTAGAAAAAAAGCAGTGTTACACGATGATAGAAGATTAATTTAACTACACTCCTCCAGAAATACTTGAAAGAGCCTCCCAAATCACGCAAAATCTTCTACCGTTAATTTCAAAAGAAAGATATGAAAGTTGTTATGAAACATTGGTAAAATGGAAGAATGAACGAAACCTAAAATCGTTATCAGAGAATGTTCTGCTTGTTTATTTTGAAGAATTAGTGCAAAAATATCAATCCTCAACAATGGGTCGAAATATTCTATGTTGAAAAACACTATAAACCTCAAACACAGTATTGATATTTCGAAATATCATAAGTTACTAGCTTATCTAAAGAGGCAAGCAGAAAATTATGTGCCAAAGAAATCAAGAATTTTAACATCCCAAGATTTTCATAAATTTCTGAATACGGCTCCAGATAACATGTATTTATTAACTAAGGTAAGTTTTAGATTTATTAAAAGTATAAAAATATCTAATCAAGTTTTTTAGTTGTTAGACCGTAGTTGCTGTTGGCTTAGCCGGTGCTTGTAGGCGAGAGGAATTGTGCCAGATGAAAATCGATGGTATGTAAGATCTAAAGTCCGCGCTCTTAGTTAAAATCAGACATACTAAAAATAAGATACCTCGATCTTTTACTGTAACAGAAAGATTTTATGATATTTGCAGAAAATATGCTAGTCTGCGGCCTCCTAATATTACAGAAAAGAGATTTTTCTTAATTTACAAAAAAGGAAAATGCACGAAACAGGTAGTAGGAATTAATAAAATCGGAAGTATGGCTAAAGAAATAGCAACTTTTTTAAAACTACCAAACCCCCAGGAATATACTGGTCATTGTTTTCGTCGATCATCGGCTACAATGTTAGTTAATGCAGGTGGCGATTTGCTAACCCTCAAACGCCATGGAGGATGGCGTTCTAGCACTGTCGCTTAGGGACACATAGACAGAATAAAATTGAAATTTCAAAGAAAATTGTCGGATCAGTAAATCCTTCTGATCATAATTTAGAAGAAAGCACATCAGATAACCAGCTACACAAAATACATCCTTTTGATCCTCAGTATTCTGAGCCATCTTGTTCAAACGAAAAAAAACAACTATAACTGAAAATGTGTTGAAAGGGCAGGACTGTCCTACAATACATTTTAAAAATTGTTCTAACATAACAGTAAATTACAATTTCAAATAAAACAGCAGGGAAGACTATTAATAAGCGAATAAAAATTGTTTTTTCATTGTTATTGTTCATTGTTGTTATTATTCATTGTTGTAAATATATGTAAGTATAACTGTATGGTTATATATAAATATAAATCAGTTCTGGTCGTTTGAAATAAGATTTGCTTTACTAACAATAGTACCATTAAAAATATATGATAATAAAGTGGCAGCCGTAGGAAAAGTATAGTGTGTAACTCGTGTGAAATAGCACTTTTCACACTTTGTGACTTGTGGCACTCGCCTTTCAGGCTCGTGCCCCAAACCGTCACATGCGTGTGAAAAGTGCTATTTTCAACACTTTTTGCACAATATACTATTGCACTTGTCAGTCGAAAAACATCAAAATGACTTTTTAAGTTCGAACGAAATTTGAATCGAAATGCAGCATACCGTTAGTCTGTGTATCGTGCTTAAAATTGATCGGATGACGGCCTTATGTCAATAGACCTTTGGACGCAATTTAATTGATACTCCAATTAGTTCTTATTTACAACATTTTTGGCAGGGACCGATAAAGTGGTCGTAAATGTATCAAATGTATACCTACCATTAACAGGGTAATTTTATGTTACTCCATTGTTATGTCAATTACAGTTTTCAAGCACACCGAAAATACTTAATAAATTTTCTGATTTCAAAATAATTATGCGAATAACATATAAATTACCTTCGTTAAAAAAAGAGAAGGGAGTTGTCTTAAAAGGGGATTTCTTACTAAAGGCTAAATAAATTAGATAGATATAATTTGAAACTTATTTTTTTTATTTATATGAGTACAGAATTATCAATTCTATTAGCCAATGTAAATGGTATTTAGCGTAAATTGATACTTACATCTGCCAATTATAAAACAACAACAAGTTTTGTTAATATTTTCTAGGACATTTAATTTTCACAATACCGTGCTATAGGAGTTACCCTCCTTTTCAGGGTGGATCATGCAAATGTATATAGTTGACAGGAATAATATTAGGTGCAGAGATAAGTGTTAGTAGCATATAATTGACAGCTATAAGTGTGCATAAACACGAAACTATGTTGCATTTTCAAGCATTTTCTGATTTCGAGACATTACAGGCATGGGCATCTTTACACAATTCTATAGGAAGAGGCAAAATTTTGAAAAAATTTAGAATGTTTATTTGTTGGAAAACAAAGAAAATGAAATATAAAAGAGAATTTTCTAATGATGGATTTAATTATGCTGTGACGTCATGGCTTACTTCCGGTTTTTCCAGAAATAACAGAAAATCGCAATTTAATTTTTATTTTTAAATGAAAACCCTTTTTCTTATTGTAAATTTGAATTTCTGGGACATTTTTGTATAAGAAGCGTGTATTGAAAATTTTCTGTCAGTAACATATTAAAAAAACTATTTTCCAATATGATGGTCATTTTGACAGCTGACAAAAAATTTTCAACACATAATTCTTATCCATAAATGTCCGTAAAAATCAAATTTTCAATAAAAACGGGGTTTCTATTTAAAAATTAAAAATAAATTGAGATTTTGTTATTTCCGATAAAACAGAAATAAGCCATAAAGTCACATACCAATTGAATTCTGTATATGAGAGTATTTGTCCCAAGCTTTCAAACAAATAAGTTTTCATTCCAATATCTCAATTAACAACGAAGATATAAGGGGATGGAATTATTAAACAGTTTGCTAATAATAACAATGCTTAGATACGCCACTGATATACGGTAAATGGGTTTCTATGGGAATTTTAAAGCCTAAAAAGATTTTATAAAGTTCGTACATTCCTTTGTTTTTCCATAAACAAATTAATAGTAACATATTTAGAAAAAATATTATCCAATATGGCGGTCATTGTGAGAGCTGTCAGAAAATTGTCAATACACGATTGTTATACAGAAATGTCACAGAAATTTAAATTTATAATAACAAAGAGGGTCTCATATTAAAAATTAAAAAAAAATTCGATTTTCTGTTATTTCCGGAAAAACCGGAAGTAAGCCATAATGTCACAGAACAATTAGATCCATCATAAGAAAGTATTTGTTCCAATCTTTCAAACTCTTCAAATCGAAAAATTGAAAAATCGGAAAATCGGAAAATCTAAAAATTGAAAAATCAAAAAATCGAAAAATCGAAAAATCGAAAAATCGAAAAATCGAAAAATCGAAAAATCGAAAAATCGAAAAATCGAAAAATCGAAAAATCGAAAAATCGAAAAATCGAAAAATCGTAAAATCGAAAAATCGAAAAATCGAAAAATCGAAAAATCGAAAAATCGAAAAATCGAAAAATCGAAAAATCGAAAAATCGAAAAATCGAAAAATCGAAAAATTGAAAAATCGAAAAATCGAACAATCGAAAAATCGAAAAATCAAAAATTCAAAAATCGAAAAATCAAAAAAACGAAAAATCGAAAAATCGAAAAATCGAAAAATCGAAAAATCGAAAAATCGAAAAATCGAAAAATCGAACAATCGAAAAATCGAAAAATCAAAAATTCAAAAATCGAAAAATCAAAAAAACGAAAAATCGAAAGATCATACAATGTTAATTATAATGCTGCTTTTGGTGTTGTTAGTATTTTTATTTAAAAGGTTTTCAGCAACTTCAGCCTAACAGAGACATATAGTCCAAGGATAATCTTTCGGGCGCTTGAGACTTTTAACATAGCCATAAAGCATAATGGTAGAAGGAAACAACCATGTAGTTGATTATCGTACTTATCAGTAAAGCATATTTGTGAGATGGTAGCTATTTTAAATTGAAAATAGTTTATTTTGAATGATTTCTTCCAGAATGATTACATTGCAGAATGCGCAGGAAACTTGAAATAAGAAAATTATTTTTAAGAATGTATGCAAATGAAACTGTGTTTTATTGAAATGTTTAATCATTTTTAATAAAT